ATTCCTTGATTTGTCGTTTGTTTATGTTGGGTTTTTGTTTAAAATGACTGTGTTTTTAATAGATATACTATGGTTTTTTGAGTTGCGAATGGTGAAAAACATGGGACGGTTTTTTTATTGTGTTCTGTCAATCTGGTTTCCAATTTTCTTCCTGTTTCTCCGAGATAACTATCTACCAGAAATCCTATTGTACATTTTTTTTTCTCTTGTGCATGCTAGAATGAACAAAATATAATTGCCATGTACGAAATCCATCATTGTAAAAAGACCTGTTATTGGTGTAAGCATGAAACAACACAGACAGTACAAGACTAATGAATACACAAAACTCTACTGTTTCAAGACATGCTATTAACTGGGATAATCACAGGCTCATTAAAACAGACAAGTGTTGGAAAACCACAGAACATCAAGGCTGCTTTCTAAATAAAGAAACTAAAGCTTTCACACAACAGAGACAGTTTGGAGAATGGCTGCCACTAATTTACACACACAACTGTCACTCCAGCTTTTTCTCTTTATAATAAAAGGTTAATTCAGAAGGGTCAACAGTTTGTCATGAAGATCCTACCTGCAATAATCAGGCTTCACGAGAAAGATAGTCAATAGCCTGTCCAGGTGATTTGATTTTTCCACTGCTTACAAATGTAAATATGGTAGTAAGTAATTCATACATTTAGCAGACATGCAGTGCACCTCATTGTCTTACTTCATAGTAACATTATTGGCCATCATTACATTTGTTTAAACTATGTTCTCATTTTCTCTGGTTCTTCTGGACAGGCTATTGACTCTCTTTCTCATGAAGCCTGATTATTGAAGTTAGGTTCTTCTGGACAGGCTACTGACTATCTTTCTCATGAAGCCTGATTATTGAAGTTAGGTTCTTCTGGACAGGCTATTGACTCTCCTTCTCGTGAAGCCTGATTATTGAAGTTAGGTTCTTCTGGACAGGCTATTGACTCTCCTTCTCGTGAAGGACATATCATGAAAGATACCAGAAATTGATTTCTCTAGTTCTAATATTTATGAATGCTGAGTTTTGTTCCAAAGATAGATTAATTAATCAAAACCAATGAAAATGGAGAACTAAACATTTCATCATTGTACTGCCACACATTTCATTAACAACAAAGAACCTCTGATGTTATACTGAGACACAATAATAGTCAAAGGTGGTAAAGAAATATTATATATATATTTTTCCCTTAAAATTAGAAAAAAGTAGTGTTAAAATAAACGAGTCATCATGCTGTTTATTCAAATTATTTATTTATGTTAATGATAAAGTGGTTTAATATCTCCATTATAGTTCAAAGCTGTATTGTAATAAAGCTGTTATCATTCAACAGTCAAGGATTTTGATAATAACAAAGAATATTAGGGGGTCACTTAAATAGTGCCATACCTTTTGTAAGTGACAAAATCAGAAGGTTGTTACTAAACAACAAAACAAAATCTATAATAAGCTGCTTAGTAGAAGAATAAACGGAAAACCTCCATAAAAAAAAATACAACTTTCATGATGACTCACTTATTTTATGTTGTTAATGAAAACTGTTCCTTATCTTGTAACTGTATTGGAGTTGTGTATTGATATATGTATAACTATAACTGTGATAGTGGTTTCTGAACATATCAGTTACAAAAAGTCTTTGTTGTTTGTGTGATACCTACAAAAAAAAAAGCATAAAATTCATGACATGTACAGATAGAACTGTATTTGAAATTTGGTGTTCCATAACATTTTCAGATTTGTGGACACTTTTATTTCATTGATGTTTTTGTTGTTATGTTAAGTAAGGAAGATAAATCATACTCGGGTTTTAAAATGCATCTTAACTGTAATTGTGTGTGCATGGAAGGGGGAATTAAGATGTATTTCTATAAAATACCAGTAAGGAAGCGACTTCTAAAAAACCTTTATAATCTTACAAGTAACGCTATCATATTTCATTGTTGAAGTGATGAGAAATTTATGTGGGTTCATAGTTTTTGTATAATTTCAAAGTTCTAAAACGATTTCTGATATAAGTATTACGCGAGAACCTAGACCTTAGCTTTTATCCAATTTTTGAAATGCAATTCTTAAATATCCCACAAACGATAACTTTTGAGAAGTCTCTCCCTCACTTGTCTGAATTGCACAAAAAGTTATTAAACTTTGAAATTAACAAAAAACAAAATTAAATGTCCATAAAATTTTCCAATGTAATTCTGCTGAATTTTTTTTTAATGTAATCAAAAGTTACTCTTAAATTACCAAGTTGTCCTTGTACCATTCGCTACTGATGGAATCAACTTTTGCATCATACCAAGTAGTTTTATGTTTTAATGTGTAAAAAACAAAACAACAGTCAATAACAAATTTAGCTCGTTTTCTGTACTACATAGGAAATTCCATCAGTAACTAGTGAGATCAGCACTTGTTTTTACTGATATTTTGTGTAACAGTTGTTCACACGAACTTAATATGCATTTTTAAACCTGAATACAGATTCTATTTTCCCGACTTAGATAGAATACCACCATTAAAACAACTTGTAGCATTCTTGATCAATTTTCCTGGTGTTGTTTGGTTTCTACTATAAAGTCTCCTGTGAGTGAACATAATATGTTTTTGACCATGATGTACCTGAGTTTTACAACCGTAACTAGGGCCAGTGATAAGCAGTCACCGTATTCGGTAAACATGTGCTTATTAGAAACAGAAAATACACTTCAGTAAACCTAACTTTGACACGTGTAAGTGAACGTACTAAAAACAAAGAAATGTTTTCTAGAGTGGCAACTCACCTGGTGGCTGGCCATGAAATCAACCGAAGTTCACTTTCTAAAAGGAATGTGTTTAACCCTAAATTCATAGAAAAATAATTAAGATCATTCAATTCTTACCAACTTAACCATTTAATTACTGAATACGTCTAATTGCAAGACAAACTGACTTACTTTCATCATTATGGTATGGATTTCTCTAACTGCTCCTGATGAAAAATACTTGGTCAAAAAGTGGCCCTAGTAAAGGTTTTAACGTGGAAAGAATGTATGAAAATCAATAAAATATTTGTGATTTAATTCCTTTTAAGTACTTAGGTATAATACCCTATTTCAATTACAAAGATGAAATTTCCAATACCATATTTGTTTTAAGAAATTTAAATAATATTCTAATGTTAATAACTACTGACACGTAATGTTAATTATAAGGCAAACAGTTTAGAAGTAAATCGAAACATGATGTGATTTTAAATCTTTATACTATATACCAAAAAATAGATATGCTTCTCTGACCCTGGAGTAATGTGTGCCAATATTTTCTAAAAACAAATGTTTGTCATTTGCTGCATGAAATGTAATATTGGGTAAAATTTGTAACTCGGATAAAAATAAAGAATGTTATAAAAAAATCACAGTCCGCTGATTTTTTTCACTTTAAATTATTCTGCATCCATTGGACTTATCAATAATCCAATTGAAA